ATTTCAGCTTCTTTTTCTTTATTATTCCTTACATACAAAACATTTGCGTGTTGACGGTTACTCTGAAGAGGTTCATATCTTCTTTCTCATCAACATCTATCCTCCGTTTCTCTCCTCCTTCTTTTCTTTGTATGTTATTCTCCAGTAACACTTATTCTAATCTTCTGCACATATAAGTATGAATTTATTGTGCTTCGAGTGCCGAAAAACTCTTGTTTAAACTAAATCAATACAAAACAAACTTAAGAAATACCTTACAAACATTATTATTGATTTGATTTATTTCAGGCTGGTTCCGGTAACACGAATTCGACGAAGACAAAGACTAAGACGCCGCCAGTATGACGTCACTTGGTTCATGGTATGGACTACGCATCTAGGAGTATGCTAGATTGGTCTCTCTCTCTCAAAGTCAAAGACTCCAGAGTTTAAGAGGATTTGCCTAAGGGTCATATTAGTCACTATTTCTTGACTCTTCTGGTGACAACTTCTTGACCTGAGGCTGGATGGGGGCAATAGTATTCTGTTGTCAGTGATTAGCCGTTCGTGGCTGATTGTTGGATCTAACGCACATTAAATTGGCGTACCTCTCAAGAGCACCAACGTTCTCACGAATAAATCTGCTTATAATATACCTTCTACTCAATACTAACATGAACATCTTTGTAGACCTCAAGTCCCAGAATGTGTGTTACTGCCAGCAAAGAAGTGTCTAATTTATTTGATGGTATATTCCTGGAACAAGAGCCTCGCCATCGCAATCTGGTGTGAACCAATTTATTTCTTATGGAACTATAATCATGTAATCCAAGAGTTTTAAGCAACGCTTTTAAGCAAATCAGACTGGTTTAATAAGTCTCTATCTTATAATTGTTTGTGCCAAGCCGGATAAGAACTTCACCTTCGTCAAAGAAGTGTGTTGTGCTCCCATCTCACTCCTTTTTTTTTTCTCTGGCTCTTTTTCTCGTTCTCTCTCTCTCTCTCTCTCTCTCTCTCTCTCTCTCTCTCTCTCTCTCTCTCTCTCTCTCCCTCCCTCCCATCAACAAGACGGCGTTAGTTGTGTTTCCTTCATGCTGTTCTACTCTGGAAGATGGGCACCGTGGGATGGACATTCCCTCCCGTCGTCCTCTTACTATGTGAGTTCACTCGATGTCGTTGTCGTCGTAGTCGTCGTCATTGTTGTTGTTGTTGTTTTTGTTCTTTTTGTAGTTGTTGTTGTTTTATGCTGTTGTTATTGTTGTCGTTGCTGCTATCGTTGTTGTCTTCGTCGCCGTTATTGTTGTTTGTTGTTGATGCCGCTTTGTTGTTGTTGTTGTTATTGTTGTTGTTGTTGTTGCTGCTGTTTTTTTTTGCTGTCGTTGTTGTCGCCGTCGTCGTTATTGTTCTTTGTTGTTGATGCCGTTGTGGTTTGGTTGTTATTATTGTTGATGAAAATGCTTTGTTTTCGTTAATTATGTTGCTGTTGCTGCCTTTGGTGTTATTGTTATTGTTGTTGCGTTGTTCATGTTCTTGTATTTGATGATGTTGTTTTCTTCCTTGTTCTTTCTTTGGTGATATTTTTGTCGACATTGTTGTTGATGTTGTTGCTGCTGTTATTGTTGTTGTATTGTTGCTGTTGTAGTTTCTATAAAACACTGATGGTATTGGTCCTGGAGGTTTGTGATGGAAGTTTAGTGTTTTTACATATTATATTCTCATAATTCTTATAGTTGTGGTGGTACTGATGTGGTGTGAGTGAGAGAGTGAGTGTATGTATGTATGTATATAT